ATATTTTGCCCATAGAATTTTCCAAAATTGCAACTTGAGGCTTAATTTTTTTCCTCAGTTCTTTCATCTTGAGAAATGCCAACCATGTTCTTCCCTTTTGGTTTTCCAAGTCCAGATCTTGCACATTTCATTACAGTAATTGGCTTTGTCTGCTAGAGCTGTTCTTTGAAATCTTCCATTCAGTTCTTTCATCTTGTCATTTCTTCCATTTGCTTTAGCTACTCTCCACTCAGAGGCAGTTTCAGAGTCTCTTCTGACATCCATTTTGGTCTTTTCTTTTGTTCTTGTATTTTTAATGTTTCACTTTCTTCATGGATAATGCTCTTGATGTCATACCACAATTCTTTTGGTTTTCAGTAAATGGTGTTTGATGCATCAACTCTATGCTTTAGATGGTTTCTAAATCCAGGAGGGATATATTAAAGGTTGTATTTTGGTTCTTGTGTATAGCCACTGTTTGTGTTGTTAAAGAAAAGGTATTTGCAATGAAGAAGTCGTTGGTATTGCAAAATTCTATCATGAGATTTCCAGTGGTATTTCTGTCACCAAGGCCAAATTTTCTAACTACCAGTGATTCTTCTTTATTTCCAACTTTTTAATTTTAATCATCAGTGATAAGCAACATTTTTTGATTGCATGTTCGGTCAATTTCAGACTGTAGAAGTTGATAAAAATCCTCAGTGTCCTCATCTTTGGCTTTGGTGGTTGGTACGTAAATTTGAACAGTAGTAGTATTAACGGGTCTTCCTTGTAGGCGTATGGATATTATCCTATCACTGAAAGCATTGTCCTTCAGGACAGATCTTGAAATATCCTTTGTGATGAATATTGGCACACCATTCTTCTTCAATTTGTCATTCCTGGAATAGTAGATCATATGATTGTCTGGTTCAAAGTGCCAAAAACCATCCATTTCAGCTCATTAATGCCTAGGATATCGATCTTTATGCATTCCATTTCATTTTTGACAACTTCCAATTTTCCTAGATTCATACTTCATACATTCCCTGTTCCTATTATTAATGGATGTTTGTAGCTGTTTCTCCTCAATTTCATGTCATGCCACATCAGCACATGGAGGTCCTGAAAGACTTACTTTATCCATATCATTAAGGTTGGTTCTATTCTGATGATGTAGCTCTTTCCCAGTCCTGTTTTGAGTGTCTCCCAACCCAAGGGGCTCATCTTCTTTCACTGTGTCGGACAATATTTCCAAGCTATTCATAAAGTTGCCTGATAAAGTACTAGACAGTGTTTCTCTGTCTAAATTTTTTCCTGGACAGTTTTGAGAAGTGGATGGCTTCTTCCTTCTTCCTAGTCTGACTTAGTCTATAAGCTGTGTTGAAACCTGTACACCATGTGCAACTTTGCTGGTGTCTGAAACACCAGTGGGACAGCCTCAAGCCTCACAGCAATGTACAAACCCCACAGAATGACAAACTGCCAGACAAGTGTGTCTCCCTTAGCTGTTGGAAACCTCTGCACCCTCTCCTTCCCTAATTCCTTCCTGGAACCTGCCACTTTGTGGTCCCTGTCCACTCCCTGACTTTTCTGGCTCTCAGGGGTTGGGACCTGCCTTGTCTCCTGCCCCTTTACCTGGATCCTGCTGCTCCTGTGGTTCCTGTTATTTAAAAACATAAATATCCAATTGTTCCACTACTGTTTGGTTGTTGTTGTTGTTGTTGTTGTTACGTGCCGTTGAGTCAGACCTGACTCATAGCGACCCCTCCTTGGGTTTCCGAGGCAGTATCACTATGGAAGTAGGATTGCCCA